GTCATTCAAATGTCTTCCTTTTTTTTTAATTAAAATTTATTGGGGTGACAATGGTTAGTAAAATTACATAGGTTTCAAGTGTACAATTCTGTACTACATCATCTATATGTCACACTGTGTAATTCTAACCCTAATTCTGACATAGCCCATCAAAATAATGAAGCTTCACGAATACACCTTTAAATCTCTATTTTCTTCTCCTACAGTATTGGTATCTCCAATGCTTTGGTTCCCTCTGTGTATAAACTACAATTGTTTTCTAGTCTAGCTCTGATTTTCTGATTAAAGAAAATAAATGGCTCATTTGTATATCTTATATAACAACATTCAATGAATACAATAATTTTATAAAAATAAATCTTAAAAATCAGGACCCTCTTTCAATGCCAGCTATTCATCACTTATAGAAAAATGATATCATAATTAATGAGAGAAATATTAGCTTAATTTTGATAATCTATAAAAGAGTAAAACAGGATAACAATTTTATGAAATAAATGATTTAAACATGTCTTCATGAACATTAATGATAAAAATATGGAAATTAGAAAATAAAAAAGTAAGTGAAATAATTTACATATTTGTATTATAATATGTCAGTATGTATATAATTGCTATAATTGATAAAAGTTTATTTCTGCCCTTTTCAAAAATGGTTGACTACAATTAAAAAGGGGGAAAAGTTATTTACACCTCCTCACATAAAATAAATTAGATTTTTCCCCCTAAATCCCCTCTCCTATATGACAAGTATTTTAAGCATGAAAATTTCTATTGTTGTACATTATATGTTATATTTTACTTTTGCCAATACATGCTATAAACTTTCAAGTTAAATTAAATCTTATGATGTCATCCGTTCAAGACAAAAACAAGAACAGAGTCAAACATTTTCTAGAAACAGTTATGGATGCTGATCCCAATACTTGCATTTTCATTGAATTTGTCTGTAATTATCTGTACTCATTGTTTGAATCTCATTTTCTCACAAAAGTGAATGCCTTGTATAAAGACATATTACTAGAACATGATTTTATACATTTTCTATCTCTGAAGATCCTTAAAAGTTGTTACATATTTAGTTCTTTGGCAAATTGACTCCCTAAGCTAGTTGACATTCATATAACTTAATGTCATTACAACCAGTCCGGACTTATCAGGGTTACTTCTAAAGTTACCTAAAACTGTGCTTAACTAGAAGCTCATAATGTCCCAAAGAGCCACACCAAAATCTTATTTCCTGAAAGGAGTAACTACAACGAATGTGTAAGTCTGCATTTGCTTCACTTTCACAAACCTGTTACTCTAGAAAATCAGAAGATAAAAGTTATAGAAAAGGATGAATTTCAGATCCTTCAAGAAAAAGTGAAATTAAAATTACATTAATTCCATTTATTATTTTCTAGATTAAGGAGAGGGATGAATATAATTCTCAGTCAATATTATTAAATTAATAAATAGATTAATCAAATTTGATTAAAATGTTAGATATATAGAATATAGTGTTATATTCTATATAAAGATTTCATGAATTAGAGGATTCTGTACTTGGGTTTAATAAATCAATTCTGTATGGAAAAGACTAGGGAGAATTGCCATTATAATCATTAATGTGACAAAAATATCCAGGCAATTTATTTACCCATAAGGTTAATGTGAAGTCGTAATATTCTGAATCTGCAAATAATCAACATATTAGGCAAGATATCAATATATCAACAAAATAATCAATATATTAGTCAACATTGATAAAATATGCTTTAAATTTTCAGTGGTAAAAGTTAAGAAAAATGGTAAATATATAAGTAAATGTGTATTGTCCAAAAATAGTAAAACGATTAATTATTTCTGCCTTGCTCTGATCAGATCGTAGCAGGAGTCACATGTTATGTCTGAGGTGCCAGAGTTTATAAAACATACTGACTATTGGGGATATGTGCTGAAGAGTACGACTAGTGTAGAAAAAGGCTAGAAAATCACATTAGTTGCAACTTAATAAAATAAGGCCTTTACGTAAAAAAGAGAAATATGAATAATATTGCAGATTTATATTACTATATCCAATAGATATTTGCTGGTCTTGTGAACTTGAACAAATCACTTAATGTTTCTGAGGTTTCAAATGACTTTATCTTTCTTTGTAAAATTATGTCTGCATCACAAGAACACAAGGGGCATAATTGTCATCCAATAAAACGTTTCAAACTCTATATTGCACTGACATATCAAAGTACTTGATTGAGAACTAGAAAAGATAGAGGAGGGGGATGCACTGCAAAAGAGTACTATAGAACTGGACAAATCATTTTTCACTTAAATATGTGTACAAAATGATGAATTTTAACTAAAAGTTTTAGGGGAAAAATCTTAAAGTGGTTGAAAAATGTTTTCAGAAAGAAAACGAAGATATTGGAAGAAATTCAAACCCTGTTTCTAAGAACAAGTATACAGAGGAAATGGAGAGGAGAAAAAAGATAAAAAGCGTGGTTGAGAAGGACAACTATAAAAGGATTATGCTCATTGTAACAGAAATGCACTATTACTAGTTAGATCTGGGATTTACAAATATTAATTTGGAGAAAAGTAAGATATATAAATGAGCTTTTAAGGTATCTTTACAAACAGAAGCACCTTCACATTTCTTCCCATGTGAGAAAAAAGAGAAGACGAGGGAGAACCATAAAGAGAAAATGTGGTGCTATGAATTCAGTTGAGACATAGCTACAAGAAGATAATAAAAAGAGGGCTTTACCCTTAGGAACAATGATACTCTCCTAACCTGTGGTCATGCTGATTTAACTACCATATTAATATCACATAATACATAAAACTACATGTGTAGATCTCTTTTAAAAATAAGAGGGACATCCTAAGGGAAGAATTATCCCATTATGGTCCTATCATTTCTTTTCTTATTTAGTGTATGTGAAATTATCCAGTAGTTATTGTTTTCAAGTAAGCTGTTTTGTTTTGAAATTAAAATATGTGGAATCATATCATGCCATGCACCACATAAGATGTTATTCATTACAAATCATATATTTAAACACATTTGTCTACATATACATAATTATTTTATCAAAAATGCTAAAAACTCTAAACTAGATATAACAAAATTATTATTACTTAGCAACAGAGATATGTATAGCTTATAAAAAATAATAATGTGAAGCGTACATACACATCTGGTAGTTAGGGTTAACTGTTGCCTTCAGGGTCCATGCTGATGATATTCAGAGAAGGGCTCCCATCTGAAATGCAATCCTAAAGAACTTCACAGAATAAGCTATAAAGATAAACTGGAGCTTAGAAAAATGATTCCTATTTGTTGGGCATCCCCATTACCAGCTTCCCAAACCCAGATCTGAAAACAAGGGCACTGAAGGAAGGGACACAAAATGGATTTAAAATGATTTCATGATAGCTATATAAATAAGAAAAGCAAGTATATTCTAAGAGTGGAAGAATTATTTATAAAGTAGAACTTTAAAATGTATTTAAATCAAATCAAATAATCAATATTTTATGAGGAATCACTAGATTTAAGATTTAGGGATTTTAGATTATAACTATGATTCAGCTTTTAATAAGTGAGAGACCTACTGCAAATCCTTTAAGATGCCAAAATTTTTTATTATTCTCTGTGAATTGCAGTATTTGTGTTAGCTTATATCTATGATTTTTTTTTATTTTTTTACTTTAATAGTGTATTAGTGTACAAAATGATTTTATGACTCCTTTATTAACTAACAAATATCAAATGCTTATTTGACAGATGCTAATGTCATAGGGATGCAGACAGGAACTCGTCTGCTAAACCCACAGTTCAGAGACAATGAGTGGGTGGCAATCACTGTATAGAAAATGCACACTTCAGACCTGCAGGTTAGCTCTGATATCCCTCCTGGGGTAAAGTCCTCAGACGGTCATGTCAGCACTTTTCTTCAGGTTGAAGAATGAGAAGGGTACATTCAGCACTCAGAAAAAAAACACTTTAAGAGAAGATGTCATTTAAACCCATTAGGACAAATCTCAGGATCTGTCACAGCTGGTTCTTATCATTGGATTTCTTGTGATGTTGATTATTACAAGATGGAGGCACCTCCATCTTGTAGGGGTTGTGACGCATCACAAAGGTCCGAAAGCACCACTTTCAGACACTGCAGCATTTGTGAAAGTATGCACAGCATTGACAGATGAGCATTTAATTAAACTGGTATTAGGCTTAGAGCTAGGAATCAGAATTCTGGGGTTAAAATCATGGTTTCGTTAGGGATAAAAGTGAAGAAAAAGAAGGGGTGGGTGGTCAAGAGTCAAGGTATAGTGATCAGTAAGCATCATGACATAAACCGAAAGGAAAATTATATGGTCAGATATTAATTGCACAAGATTTGTTTTGTTTTGTTTTAATGCATTTCCAGGGAAAACAAGGTGTGCTGTAAATAAAACCTGTGGTTCCTACAGGATTGAAAATTAAGGAAGTTAAGAGCTAGGGCAAAATGTTCTATAATTGCCACTTATACCGTATTTTTTTTTATGTATTTTGAAGCTATGTGAAACCTATTTGGGCCTGTATTTTGAAGATATTTTCTATCAGTTTTACAGTGATGAAGTCTTTTGATTAAGTCTTAAGCAAATTATGTTCTTTGTTATTCTATAGGGGCACCTGCCCTATACAGCTTCCTGAATTAGAGGTAAGATGATTTATCCCTTTTCCACTAAAAGTGTTAATGTCAGAAGACCTTTCTGCCCAATTCTTCATATAAAAAAGTCCCCAAATCATTCTGTATGAATCTCAATTACCCCATATTAAAAAGAGAAGAGAGAATGTCCAGGTGGTAATGTTTCAATTTATGAAGCCATTTAATTGCCCAAAAAGATACCAGACAAACAGGGGAGTTATTTCCATCCCTGCCCCCCCAAAAAAGTAATTAATTAATTTTGATGTACAAGGTCAGAAAATTAAGTCCATGAACTCATTCTAAAAAAAGTGCTACATACCTCATTGCTGAAGATCACTATGGTCACCTTTGAAGTACTCCCCTTGGGAAGCTATGCACCAAGACCAGTGCCTAGTCCACCCTTAATAGTAATTTAGGAACTCTTTCTGGAATGGCCATCAGAGCTGTTGTAATATTACCCTTGATGTCCTGAATGTCATTCAAATGTCTTCCTTTTTTTTTTAATTAAAGATTTTATTGGGGAATTGAGAGAGGGAACAGCGTTGTGGAATCAGGAAAGGGGAACAGACAAGTTGCTTTCCTTTTGTTCTTCAGTCTAGCTGTGGAGGACATCGCTTCACTGGTCCATGTTGGTATTGTGATCATTGTGCTCTTCCTGGCTGAGGCAGAACTGTCACCAGCCATTGAATGGCTGCCCATGGCAGCTCATGGCAGCTCACACCAGCTGCCGACCAGTCATGGTAGCTTATGGCAGCACACTGCAGCCCCACTGCAGCCTACGCCATTGCTGGCAACTCACGGAAGCCCAGGTCCAGGCTGAGCTGTTGTTCACCATCTTAGCTGTAGAGGGCACAGTATCACTGGCCCATGTGGGATCTGAACTGGCAGCTGTGCTGCTCAGAGCTTGCACTCCCAAGCCAACCCTTAACCAACTGAGCCACTCGGCCAACCCCCCAAATATCTTCCTTTTAATATTGCCTTTATCTTCAGGTAAAGAAAGAAGTCATTGGGGGTCAGATCAGGTGAGTAGGGAGGGTGTTCCAATCCAGTTATTTACTGGCTAAAAACTCCCTCACAGACAGTGTTCTGTGAGCTGGTGCATTGTCATGATGCAAGAGACATGAATTGTTGGCACAAATTCAGGTTGTCTTTTTCACGCAGCCTTTTCAGCACTTCCAAATAGTAAATTGGTTAACTGTTTGTTCGGTTGGTACAAATCCATAATGAATAATCCCTCTGATATCAAGAAAGGTTAGCAACATCGTTGCAACAAGTTCTCAAACTTAATTGTGAGATCACGTATCTACAACCAGGATGTCTAGGATTCACATCTTCTGTTTTCAGGATCCACATTGGAATTCAGATATTGAGAATATGTAAGAGAATATAACCCATGCTAAGCTATGTAGCAAACAAAGGGGAAAAGACCAAATAGCCTTGGTTAAGCTTTCTTAATGCATGGACGTTTCTCCATTACGCATATTTCTCAGAAGGGGAGATTTAGTCTTACAACAAAGTTTTAAATTCTTGTTTATGTCTCTTACTATAATAGTCACAATGCAAGCCTAAGAGTTTGCAATATATATATTTTTTTCAGATAGTAACATTTGTGATATTTTATTTGAATTTGTCTCAGAGTAGTTTAAGAATTCTGTAGACTAGAAATAGTTGAGTCTATCATGCTTCAGCACATCTGAAAAAATATTTTGGTAGAAGATAAAGATGACACAGGGGCTTAGAAGAGGATACTGTGGTATCATACAAATCCACAATCTCTTTTCTTAAACATCTGCTGCCAAAACTCAGATTTCACAAAAAGTTGTAAAGGAAATAAGCATATCCAATATCAATATATTATCTGATGTCCCTGGTGAGTTCTAGGCGAATATTCCATCATCAAACACATTAATATTTTTCCAGTGAATGTGTCTACTTAGTTCAGGTTTTGCTCCCAAATACATAAACCAGTCTTCTAATCTTAGTGAAAAATAAAATGAAAACTGCTTTTGATTTTTTAGAATCTTTTAGATTTCAGGAGTGCAAATAAGGTATTGTCATAACGACATCTTATGATTTTTATTTATCTGTGTCTACACTAAGTTATCTAAAACTCATAAAACTAAAAAAAAATAAAAAAAACTTATTCTGAATACTTTATCACAGTGTTTTTCCCCATATATTTTATAGGAGTTACAGTAGAAAACTCAGGCATCATTTTCTCCAGAAAGCTTTTCCTGTAACCTTAATGTGTACCCTGGGCTAATTTCACCTCCTCCGTGTTCCCATATCCTCTTTCTGAGGCACTTTCCATTTTCTATCATAGCAATTTCTTTCTTTCTTTTTACTTTTTATCTTTTTTTTTTTTTTTGCAATAGCAATTTCTTTATGTTTGTGTCTCTCCAGGCTGTGCCGTCCTGAAGGGTCACAGCCCATGGAGGGGATGGGCCATCACAATCATTTGATAGAAGTTTCTTTATGAGAACTATTCAGCAAGAACAGAGCCATTAGAAACAGTTCACTTCATACAAATATTATGCTTTTTCTTTCATACCTTGTGACCTCACTAGAAACCAAAAATAATTCTCTTTGTCATTTGTGAATGCTGACCTACATTGATTATTTTTCTAGATCTGCTCATATAATAGAGACTTGGTAAAGAGTAAAACACATCACCACTTGGATTAATAGCAATGTGTGTATGCTATTTAAACCCTTGTTATAGGGTTTAGCTCAGTGGGAGGGTAGGCCAGTTCACAAAATGACCAATATATCAGTTTTAGAAGAAAATGTGTTACTTTAAAATATTAATTTTATTACCATTATTTATGTTAAATATGTATAATACTCAGAAATATCTACTTTGTACTCTAATAAAAATTCAGAAACTCATAAGGGAATATGTACTTTACAACCTCGAATACTGTTAAATTATCTCTAAAGGCACTTTCTATAATCCCATTTTTATGCTATTTTCAATTATCCCCAGGATTATTTTGTCAATTTTTCAAACAGCATATCAGCCTTAATTTGTCATTTATGATAACTAGTAGTCCAATTTACTATATTATGCCTCTTGTGATTGTCTAATTTGTCTTGTTTATTTATTGGTATTGTCAGCTTTTTATCCTACCTGATTTTTGATCCTTTTATAAGATCATATTTATAAATAATATATAAGTTAATTTGTTAATCACAGTTTATTATATAAAGCTCTAGATTCCTTCACTTCTTATTTTCTGGATTGATCATCTTACCCTTTTATGCTAGAACTTTCTTCAGTCAGCTACCAAGGCAATATATTCTAATTGCTCCTTGTTAGAAATCATTATTTTAGCATTTCATCTGACAAAGGGTTGTTTCAGTCACTTCTGCTTTTTTCAGATGTTTTTCACTGTATTTATTTATTTTGACTTTCAATATTGTTTTGTATTAATTTCAGGTGTATAGCATAGTGGCTAGACATTTATATAATTTAAGAAGTGACCCCCTTGACTAGTCTAGTACCCACCTAGCACTATACATAGTTATTACCATATTATCGGCTATATTCTCTATGCTTTACTTTGCATCCCCATGACTATTTTGTAACTACCAATTTACTTCTTAATTGTACTTCTTAATCCCTTAATTGTACTTCTTAATCCCTTCATCTGTTTCACCCTGTCCCCCAACCCTCTCACATCTATCACTCCAGTAAATCTAGTACCCAACCTATACCATACATTGTTATCATAGTATTATTTACTATATCCCTTATGCTATACCTAAATCCCATGACTGCTTTGTAGCAACCAATTTGTACTTCTTCATCTCTTCCCCTTTTCACTCACCCTCAAAGCCCCTCCCCTGGCAACCATCAAAATGTTCTCTGTATCTATATGTTTGTTTCTGTTTTGCTTGTTAATTTTGTTCTTTAAATTCCATGTATAAGTGAAATCACATTGTACCTGTCTTTCTCTGTCTGACACTTCACTCAGCACAATACCCTCCAGGTCCATCCATGCCGCCACAGATGGCAAGAACCCATTCCCTTCCCTGGCCCAGCAGTATTTCACTGTATATATGTACCAACTTCTCTTTCTCCATCCATTCTTCCAGGCTGTCCACCCAGGCTGCCTCCACATCTTGTAAATAATGCTGCAATGAGGGAGCAGCTTTTAATGTATGCATGAAGACCTCTTTCAGAGAAAGACTGGGAGCTGAGTGTTTCTGTCTGCCCCTACTGTGCTGAGTCCTGGAGATAGCCAGTTAAGAACCGTTTCTTTGTTTGGTACACTCTTGTAGAACTGTGAGCCCAAGTGCTGCTGGTCACCAAAGCCAGGAAATCAAGGGGTGCATCTCCTGAGTGGCAGCCGTAGAAGTCCAGGTGCCAGGTGTGTGTATAAGCTTCTTCCTGGGAGATAGTGGTGATTTAAAATGGGCAACAGGGAAAATATGGAGATGATATCTGCTAGCAGGATTGCAGTTTGTCCTTAGATGAGTGCTGAATTAGAAGTCTGACCCTCAGGCTGTAGCTTTTAAGTAGTTAAAAGGGCTCTTTCACCAAAGACTGGGAGATGGGCATTTCTGTCTTCTCCCTCTAAGCTGAGCCCTGGACAGGTTTGAATAGTGATAGCCAGCCAAGAACTGTTTCTTTCTTTTCTATAGTTTTGTGGGTCCCCTGGATGCAAGCCCTGTTGGCTTTTGGTGCTGGTGTTTAAGTTGTGGAAGCCTTAAATATTGGGGGTTTTAGATATTGGATCCAAAGGTTTCCATCCACAGGGAGAAACTGGGGACTGTGAGTTCCCTCTCAAGTGTATATTGCTACCCTTTTTGGTATGGGTATTTGCTAATTCACAAGGTGTATCAGAATCTCTCAGCTAGTTCCTGGATTTCTTTCAGAGGAAATTGTTCCACGTATAGCTATAAATTCAGTGTGTCCATAGGAAGAGGTGAGTTCAGGAACTTCTTGTGTTGTCATCTTGGGTTGGAATCTGTCTCTTCACTTTTATATTTATAACAAATAAATCAGA